TATTACTATACCAAACTCACATTCTCTTTTTTTCCTTTAGGGGGATAATTAACCCGTTCCCTGCTTCAAAATGCATCAGATCATCCCTGCTTCAGTGTATCTATACAGCTGAAGGACACGCCAAGGCTGTGCTTTGTGTTGATGCAACTGATGATCTTCTCTTCACTGGATCTAAAGGTTAGGCAAGCTTCGTGCATCTGTGCTGCCTACAGAGGCAGCTTTGACAGCTTGGGGTATTGTGAAATTCTCAGTTTGTGCTTAGTGTTGTAAACACACTGGAAAATTGTGAGGATCCTTTTTGCAACATAACCTGAAGAAGGATTTACGGCAATTGCCTACAGGTTTTGAATTCCAATAGATAGTATATGGCTGTTTGTAGTGGAAAAAATAACTCTCAAGAATAACATTGACATTTGTCGAGTGACACGATGGAACCAATCATGGTAACATGTGCACACATGATGTGCAATGCAAAATAATAGCTTCAGGGTGGGGGTAAAGGTGGAAATTAGGACATCTCTGGCTTTACTGCCTACAGAGTTTGAATAGATTCTTCCTGCCATAGCTGATTCTTTTAGCAGAGCTAGGGCCATTTTCTGCTTCCCCTGTGCACCTCATCCTGTCCCTTGTGGGTGTAAGAGTTGTATGGTGGTTGTGGGAAGGGTTACATCTAGTAGTCACTAAGTTCCCTACTGGATGGTGCAGCCACTCTATGAACGCTTCAAGCTGATAGAAATAGTGTTTTGGAAAAAGGTATAGTTTCTGCGGCCATTCTGCTACCTGGCTGATAAAAATACCAAGACACGTTCTTACAGTGAATTGGCAAACTTTTGGTCTAGTAAGTCTGAAGCCAACATTTTAGTATTTGTGCAAGTGGATACAAATGCAAAGAAGGACGTGTTTTTAGCTTCAGTAAATGTTGCTTGGTTAATTTGTATTGAGATTTCAAACTTAGTGTCTATGTGGAAAAAAAATAGGTTTTTAAACTTATATTTTAGTTTGCAACTATATTTGTGTTCTAAAGGGTTTGGTTTTAACATAGGGGTGCTCGCAGATGTAAATATTTGTTCTTTATTGTCATATACTAGCTTCTCATGTTTGTGGAAGAATTTTTCCTTTGTATATTTTTGGAGGGGAAAACTTTACGAAGTGTACTTGTAGGAGTACAAGAGTGTCAACAGCAGTTTAATTAAAGTTAGATCTTTTGGAAATTGTTGCTGAAGCAGAAAGCCTCAGCTCACTGGCAGCCATAACACTAGCAGACAGTGCCAATTCAGGAATGGCAATAAGTTTTCAGGGGGAGGATGCGGGGATT